AAGATCATCCCTGCATCTTTTACAGTCAAGGAAATGTAGCAAGTCTAAACAAACTTTCTTTCCAATTTAGCCCACTAAGCCATGGAGTCATAGAGTCCTACAGCACGAAGACAGGCCCTTTGGCCCAAACGGGTCCATGATGACCAAAATGGCCATCCACGCTAACCCCATTTCCCTGCACTTGGCCCATATCCTTCTAAACCTTTCCTATCCATGTACTCGTTCAATGCCTTTTAAATGTTGTTAATGTACCCGCCTCAATCACTTCCACTGGCAGTTCATTCCATATGCGTACCACCTGCTGTGTAATAAAGTTGCCTCTCAGATTCCTATGTATTCTTTCCCCTCTTACCTTAAACTGATGCTTGCTAGTCCTGATTCCTTAACCCTGGGAAAAAGACTGAGTGCATTCACCCTATCCATGCCACTCATGATCTTACACACTTCTATAAAGATACCCTCTCAGTCTCCCCAAGCTCTAAAGAGCAAAGTCCTACCTTGTCCAACCTCTCCCTGTAACTCAGTCCCTTGAGTCCTGGCAACATCCTTGTAAATTTCTTCTGCACTCTTTCCAGTTTAATAACATCCTTCCTATAGCAAGGTGACCAAAACTGAACACAATACTCCAAGTGTGGCCTCACCAATGTCCTTTACAACTGCAACATAACTTCCCAACTTCCCAATGCCATGACTGAGGAAGGCCATTGTGCCAAAAGCCTTATTCAGTATCCTGTCTACCTGTGACTCCACTTTCAGAGAACTGTGCACCTGAACTCCAAGGTCCCTCTCTTCCACTACACTCCTTAAGGCCCCACCATTCACCATGAAACTCCTACCTTGATTTGACTTTCCAAAATGCAACACCTCACACTTATCTATATTAAACTGCATTTGCCATTTCTTGGCCCACTTACCCAGCTGATCAAGATTCTGCTATATTTCCTGATAATCTTCCTCACTGTCCACGCTACCGCCTATTTCAGTGTCATCCACAAACTTACTAATCATGCCTTGTACATATTCAAATATTCAAACCCTTCAAATTTACAAAACACAAAAGTCGTAGAATTGTTACACCATAAGAGGCCATTTGACACATCACGTCCACACAGTGGCTTTTTGAATGCCAATAAGTGAAATGGTTATTTTCCTGGCATTCTGTCTCTCTCCATCTCTCCAACCCCCTCAAGTTACACCAAAAGAAATTCACTCTTCTAAACATCTAAAAGGCAACTTTCTGGCCATAAGCCTAACTCACAACATGGCTCCTTTACTGTCACTTTTGATTTGGTTTGGAATTTTTAAACATGAGATACAAACCAAGCACACTATTATTTTAGCTTCTTGCATAATTATAAATTAATGGCATCTTTACCTTGGCTCCACACTGCGTTGACTCTTCAATGATTTTTTGCCTCTTCAGATTTGCCTTGGGCTTCACTAGAATATCTTCAACATCTAATACGAAAAATCACATTTAGCAAACATTTATATGTTTGAACAAAACCTTTTATGTATAGTTACTTGATAAATGTTCCTTCTACCAGTGTAGTAGTCTTTTTAAATGTTCAAAAAAAATATTTGAACTAAAACATCTTCATAAAGATTAACAAAAACAGAAATTGCTGGAAGAGCTCACCAGGTCTGGCAGCATCTGTGGAGATAAATCAGAGTTAACATTTCGGTCCAGAGACCCTTCCTCAGAAAAGGTTACTTTCTTACCTCCAAGAAAGAACCTGTTAATCTTTGTGTAAAATGCAAGATTTTAAGTTGTCAAATTATTTTGAATGTCTAACTTTCCGTTTGAAATCTTGTGGCACAGTGGGTAGCATTCCTGTCTCTGAGCCAGAACTCCAGGATCAAGTCCCAATCCAAAACTTAATGGTCCAGAGTACCGGCACATGCCCCAGTAATGCATGTCTCTTTGTGGGGTATGTTGAACATTCCTTATTCCAGTCCTACTCTGACCCCCCAACCCATGAGTCTTTACCTTGTACATCAGTTACATCATTAGTGCTGCTTCTGTCTCGCCCAGAATTGGAAATGTTTATCTATTTCACTTGCAATTTCCACCCGGCTCTCACCTTCACCTGTCCATCTCTGACTCCTCCCTTCTTGGGAATCTCGGTTTCCAGTTCTGGAGCTAGGCTGGCCACTAATATTCACTACAAACACAACAACTCCCACAGTTACCTTGACCATACAACCTCACACTGCTTCTTGTAAAGATGCTAATTCCATTCTCCCAGTTTCTCCACTACATTTGTTCCAATAATGCCAGCTTTGACAACAGCGCTTCCAAACTGTCTACTTCTTCCTCAACCAAGGACTCTCCACCACGGCAGTTGACAGAGCACTCATTCGGGTCCGAACAAATTCCCGCAATTCAGCCCCTCACCCTTTCTCTTCCCTCCCACAACAGCAATAGAGTCCCATGATCACACTAGCACCCACATGCAAAGGACCATTAGCCTCCATTTTCACCACCTCCAGCAGGATGCTACCACCAGATACACATTCCCCTTCCCTCCATGTCAGCAGCAGGACCATTTCCTCCGGGATGCCTTAGTCCATCCCTCCTCCACTCCCAACACCTCTCCACACCCCCACAGCACCTTCCCATGCAATTGCAGAAGGTGCAACACTTGTCCACTTACTTCCTTCTTCCTCACCATCCATAAACCCAGACACACCTTCCAGGTGAAGCAGTGATTTACATGCACTTCACTCAATCTAAAAACCAAAAGAACGGAGGATGCTGTAAATCAGAAACATAAACAGAAAATGCTGGAAAAGCTCAGCGGGTCTGGCAGCATCTGTGAAGAGAAATCAGAGTTAACGTTTCAGGTCCAGTATCACTTCACTCAATCTAGTCTGCTGTATTTACTGCTCATGAAGTGTATCCCTCTACTTTGTGGAGGCAAAACACAGACTGGCGAACACTTCGCAAAACGCCTGCATTCTGTCTCCAAAAATGACTCTGAGCTTCGAGCGACTTCAACACACCATTGTGTTGCCTGGCCAACATCTATGTTTCAGGTCTGCTGCAGTGCTCCAGTGAAGCTCAGCACAAGCTGGAAGAACAGCACCTCATTTTCCACTTAAGGACCCTGCAGCCTTCAGGACTCAATTTCTCCCATGCCCTTACCCCAACCCATACACACTAGACCTTGTCGTCATCGTGGGCTATTACCACAAACAACCCATTGTCAGCCACTAATGGTCTCTATTAGCTGCTATTGATTCTCCCAGGCTGATCTTTACCCATTTCTTTGTCTGCACAACTGTTTCTCTCTCTACGGGCTCCAACTCCACTTATCGTTTACTCCTACCCCCTACCCACACCCCATCTTCAAAATATGTACCAAACTTTTCCTAGCTAAGATCAGTTCTAAAAGACAGTCAGTGGTCCCAAAACGTTTACTCTCAATTCTCTCCACAGTTGCTGCCAGACCTCAGTTTTTCCAGTAATATCTGCTTTTGTTTCTGATTTCCAGCATCTGCAGCTGTTTTTTCTAATTTAATGCTCAAAGAAGTTTCATTCAAAACTGCCCAAACTGGTTGACAATCAACTTGTAAATGCTTCCAACATAAGTCAAATGATGAGCAGTAACAGTGGGAGAGATTTCTGCTGAATCATGTAATGGAAATAAATTGGAGCAATTATCATCACCCAACACGATCTACATCTCTGGCTACAACTTCCCGTGGTGGTGGTGATGAATTTTTTTGGGAAGCGCAGCTTAGCTCTGTTGGCGGTTCAGTCAACGCAGATCATATTGATGCCAATAGCACATGATTTGATCACTATTTCAACTATGGGAGAATGCAGGTCCCAACTGCTTGTCCTAACATTGATGGATAGTGTTGTTGTAAATCAGATCTGCTTTCTGACAGGATACAAGAAAAATAATAATATGAGACATATTTAGAAGACCTTAAGCAGCCATTTCATTAGAATGTAGAAACTTGTACAAATAGCCTTTTGATTCTTTCTGAGCCTAAGATTGTCACATTCTGCCTTCTATCCCAAGCCAGCTGCTTAATTTACAATTTCCATATGCTTTGATCTGCACTAAGAGCTTCACTTTTGGAACCTGCCCAAATGCCTTCAGGAAATTCAGGTAAATAATATGCACTTGACAGTGCTCAATTGACTAATTATACACAAGAGTTACAGTGAGGTACATTTTGTTATGTGAACCATGTAACATTGATCTCTTTCCATTTAAAGCTTTCACAGCCCGACTAAAAGAACAGTTCAACCTTTGCACAACGTTTCACTGGAAGGAGCTGAATGAGCAATCTATGTACAGACAGGAGTTAACCAGCCCATGCAAAGGAATTTCCTGACGACCATGTAATTTTATGTTGGAACATACAACAAAGTATTTGTTATTCAACGTATATATCTAAAATAAAAGTTTGAATACAAAAGGCAACATGACAAAGACTAAGCAAGTAATAAACTGTTACCTAAAGTAAATCCTCTATACAGCTGGAGGTAAGCAGTGAAGAGACGAGCCAGACAGGTCAGTACTTTTCCACTTATCTCACCACCATACAGTTCCTGACAGCAGTGGACCAAGCCATAGGCTGAGCTTCCATAATGTGCCTTGTCCAGAACACCACACAGCAACTCTCCTTCCAGAATGACAACCTGTCCATCCAAAAGAAAATGAAGTACGAACACATTAAACATTCATTGGACAGAATGAAAATAAAAACTACTGGAGATCATTGTGGGTCAGGCATGGAGAGAAAGCAAGCTTATGACGACTCTTCAAAGTCAAAACATTAGCTTGCCTTGTCACCACGGATGTTGCCTGACCCGCTGTGACCTCCAGCACTTTTTATTTTCAATACAGATTCCAGCATCTGCAGTAATTTGCTCCCCAGTTCATTGTATAGAATCACTTGCTGGATTACTGTGAAAATGCATGCGCCAATTTAACAAAAGTTTTAATATGGAAACAACATGCATGAGTATAAGAGATAACAAGGTGTAGAGCTGGATGAACACAGCAGGCCAAGTAGCATCAGAGGAGCAGGAAAGCTGACGTTTCGGGTCTGGACCCTTCTTCAGAAATGGGGGAGGGGAAGGGGATTCTGAAATAAATAGAGACAGAGGGGGAGGCGGATGGAAGATGGATAAAGGAGCAGATAGGTGGAGAGGAGACAGACAGGTCAAAGAGGTGGGGATGGAACCACCATAGGTGAGTGGGGTGTGGGGAGTTAGGGTGGGGATAGATCAGTCCAGGGGGGACGGACAGGTCAAGGAGGCAGGAAGAGGCTAGTAGGTAGGAAGTGGGGGTGCGGCTTGAGGTGGAAGGAGTGGACGGACAGGTTAGGGAGGCGGGGACAAGCAGGGACGATTTTGAAGCTTATGAAGCCTGTATCTATCTCCTTTCCAAAATCCACAAACCTGAATGCCCTGGTCGACCCATCGTCTCCACCTGCTCCTGCCCTACCGAACTTATCTCCACTTATCTCGACTCCATTTTCTCTCCCTTGGTCCAGGAACTCTCCACCGACATCCATGACACCACCCACGCCCGCCACCTCCTCCAAATCTTCCGATTCCCTGGTCCCCAACACCTCATCTTTACCATGGACATCCAGTCCCTATACACTGGCATTCCCCATGCAGATGGCCTAAAGGCCCTCTGTTTCTTCCTGTCCCGCAGGCCTGACCAGTCCCCCTCCACTGACACCCTTAGCTGAACTCGGCTTCACCCTTAACAACTTCTCCTTCAATTCCTCCCACTTCCTACAGACAAAGAGGGTGGCCATGGGTACCCACATGGGCCCAAGCTATGCCTGCCTCTTTGTAGGTCACATGGAACAATCCCTCTTCCAAAGCTACATTGGCCCTATCTCCCACCTCTTCCTCCGATACATGGATGACTGTATCGGCGCCACGTCGTGCTCCCACAAGGAACTCGAACAGTTCATCCACTTCACTAACACCTTCCACCCCAATCTTAAGTACACCTGGACCATCTCCGTACCTCTCTCTCCTTCCTGGACCTCTCTGTTTCCATCTCTGGCAACCACCTGCAAACCGATATCCATTTCAAGCCCACCGACTCCCACAGCTACCTAGAATACACCTCCTCCCACCCACCTTCCTGCAAAAATGCCATCCCCTATTCCCAATTCCTTCACCTCCACCGCATCTGCTCCCGAGATGAGGCATTCCACTCCCGGACATTCCAGATGACCTCGTTTTTCAAGGACCGCAACTTCCCCTCCACAGTGGTCGAAAACGCCCTCAACTGTGTCTCTCGCATTTCCCGCAACTCATCCCTCACACCCCCTCCCCAAACAACAACCAAAACAGAATCCCCCTCGTCCTCACGTACCACCCCACCAACCTCCGGATCCAATGCATCATCCTCCGGCACTTCCGCCATCTGCAATCTGACCCCACTACAAAAGATATTTTTCCCTCCTCCCCTTTATCTGCCTTCCGGAGGGACCACTCTCGCCGTGACTCCTTTGTCCGCTCCACACTCACCACCAGCCCCGCCACCCCCACCACCCCCGGCACTTTTCCCTGCAACCGCAGGAAGTGCTACATCTGCCCCTACACCTCCCCTCTCACCCCCATCCCAGGCCCCAAGAAGACCTTCCACATCAAGCAGATGTTCACCTGCACATCTGCTAATGTGGTATACTGCATCCACTGTTCCCGTTGTGGCCTCCTCTACATCGGGGAAACCAAGCGGAGGCTTGGAGACCGCTTTGCGGAACACCTACGCTCGGTTTGCAACAAACGACTTCACCTCCCAGTCGCGAACCATTTCAACTCCCCCTCCCACTCCTTGGACGACATGTCCATCCTGGGCCTCCTCCAGTGCCACAACGATGCCACCCGAACGTTGCAGGAACAGCACCTCATATTTTGCTTGGGAACCCTGCAGCCCAATGATATCAATGTGGACTTCACAAGCTTCAAAATCTCCCCTCCTCCGACCGCATCCCAAAACTAGCCCAGCTCGTCCCTGCCTCCCTAACCTGTCCGTCCACTCCTTCTACCTCAAGCCCCACCCCCACCTCCTACCTACCAGCCTCATCCTGCCTCCTTGACCTGTCCGTCCTCCCTGGACTGACCTATCCCCACCCTAACTCCCCACCTACACTCACCTTTACTGGTTCCATCCCCACCTCTTTGACCTGTCTGTCTCCTCTCCACCTATCTTCTCCTCTATCCATCTTCTATCCGCCTCCCCCTCTCTCCCTATTTATTTCAGAACCCCCTTCCCCTCCCCCATTTCTGAAGAAGGGTCTAGGCCCGAAAGGTCAGCTTTCCTGCTCCTCTGATGCTGCTTGGCCTGCTGTGTTCATCCAGCTCGACACCTCGTTATCTCAGATTCTCTAGCATCGGCAGTTCCCACTATCTCTGCATGAGTATAACACTATCTCACATTTTCAGAAACGTCCGAAAAAAAATTGTTTTGAAGTCATTTCTTTGATGTGTAATCACTGTTGTTATTTACACACAAAGGTTCAATAAACTGCACTGAGATGAATAGCCAAATAGTCTGTTTTTGGTGGACTTTGCTGAGTAAGGAATGTTAGCCAAGATATGTGGAGAACTCTGCCCCTTTTTGAAAATGTGTCAGAGAATCTGCAAGAAGGGCCTGTCCTGTGCTGTACTGTTCTATGTTCTATGTAGATCTATTTCTACCACTGGGGAGCTTGTTTCAAGTTCTCAATCTAAAGAGAAAAGATGATCAGCCTTAATTATTTACTCCAATCCCAAGCAGATTTTGAAACTACAACTTTCTGACTCATAGGTTAAAAAAAACTATATAACCGAAGCTCATAAGCTATTTACTTCAAATTCCTTTATCCTCCAATATCAGATGTCATGACTCCATGCTCTAAGGGCATAACTTTCCCACTTTCAGGTCAAGTCCAAAAGGGGTAAAATTTTTGGACACAAATCCATGGCCTACCTTGTTTAGGAAGCCTGACAGATCAATATAGAAACATACAAAAAAAAAGAGCAGGAGCAGGCTATTTGGTCCGTTGAGCCTGTTCAGCCATTGATTATGACCATGGCTGATTATCCAACTCAGTACCCTGTCCCCACTTTCTCCCAAATACATTTAGATCCCTTTAGCCTAAAGAACAATGTCTCACTCTTCCTTGAAAACATTCAATGTTTTTGTCTCAACCATTTTTGGGCACAGAATGCGAGAGAGGCTCACCACTGTCTGGACGAAGAAAGTTATCCTCATCTCAGTCCTAAATGGCCCATATCCTTGGACTGTGATCCCCTGGTTCTAGACTCCCCAGTCACCAGAACATTGTGTTCATCCTGTTAGTCTTTTATAAGTTTCTACAAAATCCCTCCACATTCTTCTAGATACCAGTGAATAAAGTCATAACCTATCCAGTATCTCTTATACATCAGTCCAGTGTTCCCAACAATCAGTTTGGTAAACCTTAACTGCACTCTTTCCACAGCCAGAACACTCTTCTTCAGATAAGGAAACCAAAACTGCACACAATACTCCAGGTGTGGACTTACCAAGACATCTCCTGCACTGGAATGTTTCATGTTCTATTTCTGCTCGTGCATTCAAATCTTCTCGCTATGAAGGCCAACGCATCATTTGCCTTCTTCACCTTATACTGCATCTGCAAGCTTACCTTCAGTGACTGGTGTACAAGGACACCAGGTCTCGTTGCACCTTCCCCTTAAAGATAATAATCTGCCTGCCTGTTTCTGCTACCAAAATGGATAACCTCATTTTTACGCATGTTTTACTTCATCTGTCATGCAACTGCCCATTCATTCAACTTGTCCAAATCACACTGAAGCAGCTCTGCAGCCTCCTCTGTTCACTCCCACAGAGCTTTGTGACATTTGCAAACTTAGAGATATACATTTAGTTCCATCATCAAAATCATTAATATATATTGTGAATAACTGGGGTCCCTAGCACTAATTCCTGCAGTACCTCACCGCCTGCCGTTGGAAAGAGGCCCATTTATTCCTGTGCTTCGTTTACTGTCTGCCAACCAGTTCTCTATCTTCGAGGAACAATACCCCCAACCCCATGCACTTTAACTTTACGTGCTAATCTCTTATGTGGGACGTTATCAAAAGCCTTTTGAAAGTCCAAGCAAACTACGCCCATTGGCCCCCTTCATCGACTCTACCAGGTACAACCTTGAAAAATTCCAGTAAATTTGTCAAACATTATTTCCCGTTTGCAAATCCAAGCTGTCAGTCTAATTCTGTCACTGTTTCCAAGTGTTCTGCTATTAAATGTTCTATTAAGGACATTAGAGTTTTTAAATGTCAATCAATCAGTCCAGTCACTGCCTGGAGGTTTTCTGTAAGAATTACAAAGCTGGAGGAGGAGGTCTCACTCACCTGGAGCTGGCAGCAAATCAGAAGCCAGCCTCTTCAGAAATCAATGTTGCTACAATGGGGTCACAGCTTCTGCTGGGACACAACTTCCAGATGGAAGATCACAGGCAGGAAAGGGGCAAGAAAGGTTATTTTGTTTAATTAGGTAGGGCGGGATACAGAGAAATCAGAAGGGAGGACAGGGGCTAGATCTCAGACCCCAGTCCCAGCCTTCGGTCAGGTCTCTTGATCTTGCACAAATTGGACTCCATCCCAACTCTGATACAAAATTGATTGCCTCCCACAATGCTTTACCAGTTTGGTAAACTGGTTCTGTCCTGCCCTGCCTGGACCTTTCGTAATTGAAACCAGAATGGGATGAGTCCTTTAAGTGGTCGCTACGTGAGGTGCATGGAGATTTCCAGCTAGAACCTAAAGTGGTGGGAAGGGGATGAGTATCTCTGTAGTGCAGACTTTTTATTTGTCCTTTGAACTCTCTTCCCTGCATTTCTTGGGAATTCACCCTTTTTTTTACTTTTTGTGAGAATGAACTAAGAAATGACATTAATATCTATTTAACTTGCATAAAGGTAAACTTAATGCAGAAAAATCCTTATTAAATATCCCATTACAGCTAGAGTTAGTTTGTGCCTTGAGTGGATGATTATTGTAACAATTAATAATTGGCATGTACAACCCGTGAAGAGATGAGCAGGCAGCCTTGGAATTTCACAAATCAATGAGATCATCCACTACACTTCCATAGAAAATTGAACAAGATGATTCTTGAAAGTCAAAGTCTGCCACAAAAGCCACACATGAAGTTGTTTCTTGCCAGCAGTATGTAATGATTTTTGCTAATGCCTTGTTTGCAAGGCTGGTGTCTGCTTTAGAACTCTTGAAACTGCTTGTCATTGACGTGGCAAATTCGTGCCATAACCGGTGTCACCATTTGCATTGGTTGTCAACTGGTTTTCCACTTGTCATGACTGATACTGGGGGTTTTCAAATCTCTTTAGACAACACCCGCAAAATGTAGCTCAGGACACCACGCTGGCCTCGTCTCACAGGTAAAAATGACCTTTGACCCAGAAGCAGTAGAAAAGGGTAAACTTGCTTTATTTTAAAAGGTCTGTGGAATCTGTCATTAAGAATGTTTTGTAAAGGACTTTAAAGATATCACATTAATTATAAAGAGACCGATAACACCTTTCTTTGACAAAAAGAAAATACTGGCATGTGACCTTGCATCTCTTCAGCTGGAAGTACCAACACAATTTAGTTACAACAGGCACCATATGGCCAGCTACAAGTAGAAAAGCTGAAAGGTGAAGGCACTGCACAGACACAAACAAACAGAAAGCAGACAGAGAAAATAAAAGAAACACAGAATTCTTTTAAAAAAAATCTGGCCAATTATTGTTCCGTCAGTCAACTTTCAAATATCATTACACTGATGGGGTTGTCAAATGCGTTATCAAGCAGTACCTGCTCAGCAACAACCTGCTCACTGACTCACAGTTTGGGTTCTGTTAGGTCCACTCAGTTCCTGACCTCATTACAGCCTTAGTTCAAACATATCAACAAAAGAGCTGAATGCTAGAAGTGAGGTGAGAGTGACTGCTCTTAACAGCAATGCCACATCTGACCAAGCATGGCATCTAAGAGGCCTAACAAAACTCGGAATCGCGGGAAAACTCCAATGATTGAAGTCATGTCTGGCATAAAAGATGATGATTATGGTTATTGGAAGTCAGATGTTTCAACTCAAGATCATCACTGCAGGATTTCCTCAGGGTGGTGCCCTAACCAAAACCACTTTTAGCTGCTTCATCGATGACTTTCCCTCCATCATAAGATCAGAAGTAGGAATGATTGTTGATGACTGCATAATGTTAAGCATCATTCACAATATTTCAAATACTGAGGCAGTCCACGTCCATACAGCATGACTTCCAGCCTCGGGCTGACAAGTGGTTTACAATCGTGCATACAAGTGCCAAATGATGACCATCTCCAACAAGAGAGAATCTAACCATCACCCTTGACATTTAATAGCATTACTACCACGGAATCCACCACTACCAACATCCTGAGATTACCATTCATCAGAAATGAACTGGGCTAGCCATATAAAAACTGTAGCCACGAAAGCAGGTCAGAGGCTAGGAATCCTGCAAAGAGTAACTCGCCTCCTGATTTCCCAAAGCCTGTCCGTCAATACAAGGCACAAATCCGGAGTGCAATGGAATATTCCTCACTTGTCTGGATGAATGTGAGAACATTCAAGGAGCTTGACACAAACCAGGACAAAGCAGCACGCATGACTGGCATTTCATCTACAAACACTAACTCCTTCCATCACCGTAGCTGAGTGGCAGCAGTGTGTATCATCTACAAGATGCACTGCAGAAATTAGACAGCACCTTCCAAACCCATAACCATCTCTATCCAGAAGGAGGAGTGCAGCAGATACATGGGAACACCACCACCAACAAGTTCCCCTCTAAGTTACTCACTATCATGAGTTGGAAATATCTCACCGTTCCTTCAGTGTCACTGGGTTAAAATCCTGGAACTCCCTCTTCCGTGGCATTGTAGCTCTGCCTACATCAAATGCACTACAGCTGACCGCAAACTTCTCAAGGGAAAATAGGGATCAGCAATAAACGATGCCCCAGCCAGTGATAACCATATCACCTGAATGAGTAAGAAAATTAAATAAAGAGATAACATTTGCATGGCTACAGGCAAGAGTCAGGCTGAATTACTCCTGCAGAGAGCCAGCACAGACATGTTGGGTCAAACAGCCTTCCTCTTGGCTGTAACCATTGCTAGTGAGTCTTTAATTCTAAGGCCAGTTTCGAAAACATACAATGTTGTGTTTTAATGGGTTGTCTCCAACTATGATCAAGGGAGCTGACTTCTCCTCAATCAATATTAAAAAGTATAGAAATCAATAGTGACATTTCAGCTCCATATAAGAAAGAAGATACATTATAGAATCCTGATCCATGTTAAGACTGCTGTCAGATGTCCCTACAGGGTAGTCTGTTTTCTACTTACTGACATTTCAATTTCCGTGTTTTAAATGGTCTTTTGGGATTCCTCTACGTACAAGTATCCCAGTAATTAATCCTCAATAGCAGTAAGAGGCAGTCAGTGAAATAAAGAATGAATGGTTGATGAGCCTCGAGCAGAATGCCTGAAAAGCTGAACCAACTCCATTCCTACAAAGTGGAACTCATAATGCCAAAACTCTGGAGTCATCTAACTCTCCCAATTTATATATTTATTTCTTTATGAAATTGATCGTCACAATAAAAATTTCTACGAATGCTAGTCAGAGCATATAGATGTCATTATTGTTAAGCAGATAACTCTTATTATCTATATATTTTGGATACATCATGCCACTTGGGCACAAAAATAAAATTTTAACAGAAATACCAAGCAGTGACCATGTTGCGAAAGTCATTGCCAAGCCCTACACATCAGCAAGAGCCTATTGACTGATCTACATAGAACATAGAACATAGAACATAGAACATAGAACATTACAGCGCAGTACAGGCCCTTCGGCCCTCGATGTTGCGCCGACCGGTGAAACCAATCTGAAGCCCATCTAACCTAAACTATTCCATTATCATCCATATGTTTATCCAATGACCATTTAAAAGCCCTTAAAGTGGGCGAGTCTACTATTTTTGCAGGCAGGGCATTCCACGCCCTTACTACTCTCCAAGTAAAGAACCTACCTCTGACATCTGTCCTATATCTATCACCCCACAATTTAAAGCTATGTCCCCTCGTGCTAGCCATCACCATCTGAGGAAAAAGGCTCCCACTGTCCACCCTATCTAATCCTCTGATCATCTTGTATGTCTCTATCAAGTCACCTCTTAACCTTCTTCTCTCTAACGAAAACAGCCTCAAAACCCTCAGCCTTTCCTCATAAGACCTTCCCTCCATACCAGGCAACATCCTGGTAAATCTCCTCTGCACCCTTTCCAATGCTTCCACATCCTTCCTATAATGCGGTGACCAGAACTGTACGCAATACTCCAAGTGCGGCCGCACCAGAGTTTTGTACAGCTGCAACATGACCTCATGGCTCCGAAACTCAATCCCTCCACCAATAAAACCTAACATACTGTATGCCTTCTTAACAACGCTATCAACCTGGGTGGCAACTTTCAGTGATCTATGCACATGGACACCGAGATCTTTCTGCTCATCCACACTACCAAGAATCTTACCATTAGCCCAGTATTCTGTATTCCTGTTACTCCTTCCAAAGTGAATCACCTCACACTTTTCCGCATTAAACTCCATTTGCCACCTCTCAGCCCAGCTCTGCAGCTTATCTATGTCCCTCTGTAACCTGCAACATCCTTCCGCACTATCCACAACTCCACCGACTTTGGTGTCATCCGCAAATTTACTAACCCATCCTTCTACGCCCTCATCCAGGTCATTTATAAAAATGACAAACAGCAGTGGCCCCAAAACAGATCCTTGAGGTACCTCAGCTGGGAAGTCGTTCAGAACTGGCAGATGAATTGGAAGAGGAGGAGGAAAATCACCTGGTTTTATCCACTCCTGATCACTACACAGTAAGCCTATTGTAGAGTCTGTGCTCGTGGCAAAAACAATAGTAGGACCAGAACAGCTGCACCCCTCAACCCTCAATGTGACCAATATCCATTAAATCTCATGCTGCCAAACTCTCAGAATTGCCACAGATGCACGATATGCACAGAACCATCACCCCTGTCTGAGTCAGCTCTTTGAGGACAGAAGGTGAGAAGACAACAAACAAGTACCAAATTCAATTCTGAACAATCAATGGACATATAACATACCTTGGACTCGGACATCCATTCCGGATCAAAATTTGCCACCGTGCGCTGAGTTTCTCTAACCCAAGCCTTGCCACTGATTTTAGATTTCCCTATTAAGTTCAATGGTATTTGATTTTTGGGAATTATATTAATCAGCAACGTAGAAACAACCTATAAAAAAAAACAGCAATGTCTTTGATACCGCACAGAAAAAGGAAGCAGCCAGTTATGTACATTTTAGTAAATAGCAAAGCATTAATACAATTATCACAAAGTAACAAAGGCATCAAAGCCATATCAGTTAAAACACATTTTTATCCCTTGCAGTTCAAGTAGGGTTAAAATGCACATAATTTTCCCCATTAAAAATCTTCCTGTTCCTTTACTGAAGATACCGTCTTCAACTCAGTGATGATTCCAAGACGCAGCTTTCTTATATTGCTCAGTCTGAGCTTCAACATTGAGAGTTGCTGGAAAAGCTCAGCAGGTCTGGCAGCATCTGTGAAGAAAAAAATCAGAGTTAACATTTCGGGTCCGGTGACCCTTTCTCAGAAGTGATGGTAGCTGGGAATATGTCAATTTATATGCAGAAATTAGGGAGGGGATTGGGGTGGGGAGTAAATGATAGGATGGAGCCCAAAGAGAGAGAAGTGCAGTTAGATAGACAAAGGAGTTGATAACGATCTGGCTAGGAGGATGAATAGGTGTTAATGGGGACTGTTCGTGACGCACAGTAAGTAGTGTGTAATGGCAGGCTAAGTGATAACAAGGCCTGGTGTGCAGGGTAGGGGGCTAGGACATGGGAGAGTTTAGGCCCTAAAATGATTGAACTCAATAGAGTCCAGAGGGCCGCAGGGTCCCCAAATGGAAAATGAGGTGTTGTTCTTCCAGCTTGAGTTGACCTTCACTGGAACACTGCAGCAAGCCAGAGAGACAGAGATGTTGGTCAGGGAACAGGGTGGTGTGTTAAAGTGGCAGGCAACTGGAAGCTGAAAGTCTTTTTTGCAAGCAGAACATAGAAGTTCTGTGAATCGGTCACCCAGTCTACGCTTCATTTTCCCAATGTAGAGGAGACCACATTGTGAGCAGCAAATGCAGTAGACTGGAGATAACAAGGTGTAGAGCTGGATGAACACAGCAGGCCTAGCAGCATCAGAGGAGCAGGAAGGCTGACGTTTTGGGCCTAGATAGTGGAGAGGGAGGTGGTAAATGGGCAGGTGTTGTACCTTCGCCAGTTGCAGGGAAATGTGCCGTAGGGCTGAGGGGGGCGTGGATGTTGGAAGTGAAGGGAGAGTGGATGCAACATCCCTCCCACAACAGCGATAGGGTTCCCCTTGTCCTTACCTACCATCCCACCAGCATCCACATCCAGAAGATCATCAGACACCATTTCCACTATCTCCAGCGAGATGCCACCGCCAGTCACATATTCCCCTCCCCTCCCTTGTCTGCCTTCTGCAGGGACCGTTCCCTCCGGGACACCATGGTCCACTCTTCCTTCACCCCCAACACCTCCCCACTGCCCCACAGCACCACCCCCTGCAACCGGCAAAGGTGCAACACCTGCCCATTTACCTCCTCCCTCCCCACTATCCAAGGGCCCAAACATACCTTCCAGGTGAAGCAACACTTCTCCTGCACTTCCCAGAATCTGGTCTACTGCATTTGCTGCTCACAATGTGGTCTCCTCTACATTGGGGAAATGAAGCAAAGACTGGGTAACTGCTGCGCAGAACATCTACGTTCTGCTTGCAAAAAAGACCCTGAGCTTCCAATTGCCTGCCACTTTAACACTCTGTTCCCTGGTCAACGTCTCTGTCTCTGGCTTGCTGCAGTGTTCCAGTGAAGCTCAACTCAAGCTGGAAGGACAACACCTCATTTTCTGCTTGGGGACCTTGCAGCCCTCTGGACTCAATATCGAGTTCAATAATTTTAGGGCGTAAACTCTTCCATGTCCTAGCCCCTAACCCACACACCAGGCCTTGTTATCACATATCTTGCCATTGCATCATCTCCTTTGTTAGGGTCACTAACAGTTCCCATTAACAGCTATTCACCCCCTTAGCTAGATCGTTATCAACCCCTTTGTCTATCGAACTGCTCTCTCTCTCTCTCTATCTCTCTCGTCGGGCTCTATCCCTTATCCTATCGTTTACTTCCTACCCCATCCCCCTCCCTATTTTCTGCATATAAATTGACATTTTCCCAGCTACCATCAGTTCTGAGGAAGGGTCACCGGACCCGAAACATTAACTCCGATTTTTTCTTCACAGATGCTGCCAGACCTGCTGGGCTTTTCCAGCAACGTCTGTTTTTGTTCCTGATTGACAGCATCTGCAGTTCTTTCGGTTTTTGTTCAGATTCGATGCTCTGCCGATTGTGGATAATTTGACAGCTCAGCCCAAGCTGTCCTCAATTAACATCCATAGTTTCTAGTGGTGGAGGGGGGGTGGGGGGGACACTGGTTACACTATTTGTACCCACAGCACACTCCTATCACACACCCCATTCTGGATGTCAATTCCATCTGACAAAGGAGACAAGCCAGCTTCTCAACTTAATCCTTCTCTGTATCAGGCAATTCTTCTATCTTTGCTATGGAAGAATAGAGGCTTTCTTTCTCTCTAATACAGCTCTTAACATCAAATTATATATCAATTACATCCTGCGTGGACAGACTATAAATAAAGATGCCATACCTGACCATTCTGTCAACATCTTTCTTCAAAACAACAAATTAGAACAGTGCAAATTATTACTGTATCAGGTAGCATAGTTACATTGCAGATCAGAGACTGATGTGAACCTGGCCACTGTAACCAAGTGGAAGCTGTATCCAGGAGTTTACATATTCTTGGCAGGTATAATTTCAAGGGTGCATCTCACTGGAGATTCTTTCAATCACGCATCCTACTGAAAAATTAGGATAGCAGGAAATTGGAAAGTTCACTGAAAAATGCCAAGTGAAAACAGTTGAAATGCAGGCAGGAGCACCCCCATCCTCTCTACAAAAATGGGCACAAGCCTTGCATCCTGTGCCTACTACATTTGATTATTTTTTTCAAACCAATTGTTTCATTTTTAATGAGTGAACCACAGTATAACCTCAGTGTAACTAGCTAGGAGCACAATTGTGTGCAGAAACAGTATAAAGCCTTCTTAGACTGGGTTTGAGAGGCCAGGGCAGATTTAGATGCAGACCAATCCCCATGATCCAACAGAGTGGTGGAATAGGCTTGAGGGGCTGAATAAGCTACCCTTTGTCCTATGCAAAGGATCTGAATAACAGTCAGCAAGGTTTTGCCATACTTAAACTAAGGAAAACATCTTAAAAATCACCCACTGCATTATGTGCTCAGTAAGATTTTCTGACCGGGCACATCCCATTGAAATAAATCATCAGCACTCACTTTTTTTGTACTGTCACTAATTAAACTCAGCTTTCCATTCCAGCACTAATTAGAATTTTACCTGTCAGTAATTTATAATAAGCTGGTTGATAGTCAGAGGAATTACCTGCTTTCCTGTCCAGAGTGGAAATGGTTTAAGCACCGCGGGTTGAAGAATCTTCACCCGGCCCTTTTTATCCGTAAGGCCTCGGTAAACAAGCTCCATGTACTGTTCCCGCGTGAAGAAACGGCCACGGATTGTCATACTGGTGCCAGAAACCATGTGATCCTGAATTAAACCTGCCAAAGGTTTCCCATCCTAAAGGAAATAAAATACCAATGAGCAGTTTACATTTAATAACTCATATAATATCCACAGGGAGGTAACGGGATTACATTCCACAAAACACAGAAAAACATCCTTTATTATCAAGTGGATGGCAAAATATTTTCACTGTTCTGACTATAGCCACTGCCCCAGGGACAACTAGTTGTAAATTAATGCTGAAAGATCTGTTCACTGTCAATAAAACATCCTGATACAGCTTCAAATGCTGTCAACAAAAACACCTACACTAAATACAGTTTTAAAAACATCACCAGAGGGGAAGTTAGACACTGAGCAAGAATTGGATGAAAATAGATTTAAAAGGCATTAAACAAGAGATTGTTTACAAAAGTGGGAAGTAATGAGGAAACAAGATTTCAGGCAAGAATTCCCAAGTGCAGACTTGAAGGGTGGTGGGTAGTCACCAATGATAGAGGGAGAAGAAACTAACTGGTGATTGGTGAGCTTGAAACAGGGTTTGGGTGATAGAGTGAAAGACTGAAAGACTGAGCTGTAGGAGGTGCAGATTGAGACTGGAGCGAGAGCAGAAGGTGCCGAGTATTTTTCAACAAGCTCTTTGGAACTACAGGTAGTACAGAATAGGCCACATGTGGCAGACATTGAGCTCAGGCGGCCAGTAGGGAAGGCATTGATGAAATCATTTTCACTGCAAAGTTATCATGAGATATTGAAGCAATTCAGAAAAACTGAACCGAGTCACTCAAAAATTAAAATCCTTCCATTGAATGACTAACCAGCAAGATGGTTGATAAATGGAAGTGGAGAAAGGATCAGAAGGGGTCAATGGAATAAACTTAGTATAAGATACAACCATCTCAGAAAAGGCTGAAATTAAAAATCAAGAAAAAAGAGGCAATTGCAAAATGTTTGAGATTATATCAGGTGAGAATGGAATTGATGTTTCCTTATTCCATTAACCAAAGCGCACAAACACAGCTGTAACAGGGAAGGGTAAGGTCTTGTGGGACACCACGCTCAACAAATCAAACACAAATGCCCTTTTACAGTGATTTGCTCATACTTAGAAACCATTATGTCCTTCAATCATTAGGTTTCATGCATATTACTAATAGATCACTGCAAAGCAAGAAACTGAAGCAAAAACAAAATATGCTGCTCAACTCCTCAATTGCATTTCACCATTTACTAACATCTCTTTTTTAAAAAAAGATTTGCTCATGGGACATGGGTAGTTCCGACTAACCAGCATTTATTGTCCATCTCTAATTGCACAGACGCAAATTAATAGTCATTTAAGTCATTTAGTGTATTTAAGACAGAAACAGATAATTCTTGATTGGTGAAGGGATCAAGGGTTATGGGGAGAAAGCAGGAGAATGGGGTTGAGGAACGTATCAGCCATGATTGGGGAGCTACCTCCTGGTTTGAAGGTAGGAGACAGAGGGTGGTGATAGAGGTAGTAGGAACTGCAGATGCTGGAGAATCCGAGACAACAAGGTGCAGGGCTGGATGAACACAGCAGGCCAAGCAGCATCATAGGAGCAGAGAGGCTGACGTTTTGGGCCTAGACCCTTTCTGATGAAGGGTCTAGGCC